ATTTATATTAATATTAAAATTATATTATTAATATTAAAAAAAAATAAAAACTTAATTTTTACCTCCCTCTTTGAAGGAATGTAACTTATCAAAAAAAGATAAGAGTGTAAGAAAATTAATTTTTGACAAAGAATCATATTCTAACATTTTTTGTACCTATTTAGAAACATCTTAATACATAATAATGACAATCAATTTTAATCGGGATATTATATAATATTTCAATTTTAGCATAGAGACAGTGAGCAAGACAATCCTAATATACCGTTCGAGTTCAATGAGGCAAATAAGAAGCGGATCGACGCACTTCTTGCGATCTATCCTGAAGGCCACAAGCGCGGTGCCATGATACCTCTGTTGGACTTGGCGCAACGGCAACACGGCTGGCTACCCATCTCTGCCATGCATAAAGTCGCTGAGATATTGGACGTGCCGCGTATGAGAGTGTATGAAGTAGCCACGTTCTACACGATGTTCAATCGTAAGCCCATGGGGAAATATCACGTACAGATTTGCACTTGCACTCCGTGCTGGCTGAGAGACTCTGATTCGATAGTTAACGCCGTGACGAAGGCTACGAATTGCGAGCTTGGTGGCACCTCCACAGATAAGTTGTTCACCGTTTCCGAAGTGGAATGTCTTGGCGCTTGCGCTAATGCCCCGATGTTCCAAGTAAACGATGATTATTATGTACGTAAATTTGTTATTATTTAATTTTATTTGATATTTATCATTCAAAGAACAATCATTTTAAGCGAAAATGATGCTATGCTTATCTGTGTTTCTATATTTTTTTCAGGAGGATTTGACTCCAGAGACTGCGACAACTATAATAAATGCTTTCAAGAAGGGTGAAAGGCCACCACCAGGCCCACAGAATTCTTCAAGATTTGCGGCTGACCCTGCTGGTGGACTTACATCGTTAACGACTCCGCCACCGGGTCCTGGATTTGGAATTAGATCGGATTTGTAAAATATTATGTTTTTGATAAGGTTATAGTGTACACTAATAAATGTATAAAATAATTATTAATAAATAGATTATAGAATTATTAAAGTAATAAATTTATGTACTTAAATCATGCACATATATACATTTATAATTTTACATTTAGTCTATCTATAAAATAATTTTATATATTTTAAATATAAATCCGAATTTATTTTTTTCCCGATTTAAAAGTAGCTAATTTTTATTTAAAAAGATAGAGCTTTGAATTAAATGATTACAAAATGTAAATCTAAGGTATTG